GGCTGGAGCTGGACGGGCTGCTGCGGGACGAGGAGGGCACCTTCTCCCTCAGCGGCTTCCAGGAGTTCACGGTGAGTGCCCCTGGCCCAGCCTGCCCCCAGCCCCGCGCCGCTGCAGGCCCCTGTGGCGTTCCCTCCTTCAACCCCGGCCCCAAACAGCCCCGTGCAACCGCACCCCCGGGCCCCTCGCTGAGCTCCTGGGGGCCCTGCTGGGCCCGCCGTACCCTTAAGCCGGATGGAAGTGGCGAGCCCGGAACGGGGACTGCTCAGGGCTTTTCTCACGTTTCCCCTGTCTGCCTGCAGTTCCTGCCCAGGCACCAGCAGCTGAGCGAGAGGGTGCGGAAGCGGCTCTATTATGGTTGGGACAAGGATTGCAGCCTGGATAATCTCTCCAGCCCTGTGGCAGGTGGGTTGCTGAGTGTCCCCGGATGGGAATGCTGAGTCAGGGGGGTTGGAAGTAGCCCAGGGGCTGAGACCAAGTCACCCGCTCCCTCCCCGGCGCCAAATCCCACCCCTGCCCAGCCTTCCTTGCTGTGTGCAGCACAGTGGGCAGGGTGCCAGAGCCTCATGGCTCTTGCTCTCTGTTTTATTGCCTTGTCTGGCCCACTGCTGCTTTTTTGGCACCTCACTGCTGTGCAGATTCCTTTAGGTTGCTTGTGCATTCCTTGGCAGTGAAGGCTGTGTCCCTGTTCATGATGAGAGGTGTCTTGGATAACTTCTTGTGCTCTGCAAGGTTCCAGGGAGTTTGTTTAACTTCTAGTTGTGAGCAGCAAGGGAACAAGTTCTTCCTCTGTGTTTACCTGGATTGCATCCCTTTTCTTCTGTTAATTTGGCAGCGTTTTGGGGGAGCAGGAGGGCACAGCTGGGTTGAGGCTGAGGAGCTGGTGCAGGTGATGATGGAGAAGGGCAGCCAGTGGTTTGCTGGAGGGCCTTTACAGTGGGGCTGCATTAGCGGTTCCATTAACTGCATGCTCACACACCTTGCAGGGGGGATGTTGAGCAGGTGAGGAAACATCCAAACTCTTGTGACAGTTTTGGAGAAACAGCCTGAAGTTGCCCAGAGGCTGTGTATGATGTGCCTCAGTGAGGAGGAGGGATGCAGGGAATGTGGGGACGGAGCAGGGCCAGGCAGGGCAGCCAGTTGCCTGGGCGCTGCCAGGAGTCACGAGTTCTGACACGGGTGGTGTGAGGGAGGCACGTGGCTTGTCTTTGGGGCTGGCATCACACTTGGGTGCTAGATGGGACTGTTCCACAGGACGCTACCAGTCTTGAAAGTTCAAAGGGCACATTCATGGAAGAAGACTTTGTTGAGGGATATTAACTACAAAGACTGCCTCGTACCCAGGAAATGCCTCTGCTCTGGCAGCTGGGGGCAGGAGTGACGCGCAGAGAATATCACTGCGAGCTGATCTGCTCTTACAGCCTTCCTTTGCCAGCTGCTGTCAGCCCATGTCAGAAAACAGGACCTAGGGCTATGGCATCTGTCTTGGTATAGCTGTACCATTGCTATATGGGGAGTTTATGGCACTGCTCTTCAGATGAGATAGAGGAAATTGTGGAGAGAGTCCAGAGGAGCAGGAGGAGCTGGAAAAGGTCTTTGGCTTTGGGAGGCAGTCTCAGGAGGCAGTATGGAGCTGATTGAGGAGGAAGAGGTTGAAAAGTGAGTTTGTTCCTTCTGGAAGGGAAGAACCATAACCACCCTCAGCATGCCGTGGCTGTGACATGGGGACAGCCGTCAGCTGCTCTCTGTGTCCCCTAGGGCAGGACATGTTGTCATGGGTTGGATTTGTGGGCTGAAGGATTAGGTTTGCTGTTGGGACAAGGTCTGGGTGGGGATCTCATGTAACTTTCTGTCCCTCAGAGCCCTGCTGCTGTCTCTGCATTGGCTGGCGTGTGTGTCCCTGCTCGGCACAAGGGTGACCACGTGGGGCAGAAAGAGCAGCAGCAGTGTGAGGAGCTGGGAGCTGCTGATGGGGTGGCTGGACCATGTCTGCCTGGCTGTTGATCATAGTGGTGTGGCTTGAATGACTGGGGGGGTCCCTTAGAGCAGTGTGTTTCTGAGCTTGGTGGCTGCTGTTGGGCAAATAATTCCTGTGGGACTGCAGCCATTCTCTTAGTTGCTGGAGACGCATGGAAAGGAGGGTTGCAGAGAGAAGAGTGCTTCCTCTGGGAGCTGGAAATGCGAAGCTGCTGGGATGAGCTCTGCTCTTGACTCTGTCAGCCGAGGGCTCAGCAGCAAAAGGGAGCTGGAGTTGCCTATCAAACGCTTCTTGCCAAGCACCAGACGGTAGTGCTGTTTGGGATGCTCCCAGCTGGTCCTATCGCATTGAGAAGTGAGATGGGAGCTGCTGAAGCCATCTGCCACCATCCGTCAGTCTCTGGCCTTTTCAGTGCTGGAATGCTGAGGCACGTCCATGGGGGGAGCAAATGGGCTGAGATGAGGAGTTGCAGTTACACCGTATTGCTGCTTCCATGCCCTGTTAGTGCCTTCAGGCTCCTGTTCACATGAATATGTTGTCCATCATCATCTCTGGGGCACTAGGGCTGTGGTGGGGAGGAAGCTGGGCCAGTACTGACCAGCTCTGGAGGAGGAGGATGCTGGTTGGACCGGAGCAAAGGCCTGGGAAGACCTGGTATCAGCTTTAGGTCACAGAAAGACTCCAAAAGGACTGCCTGAGGTCCTGCGGGGTGAGGGAGGGTGTTGGCCTCTACGTGCAGCTGACTGCCAGTAATTCCCTGTGACGCAGACATGCTAATCCGGATCTAGCACTGCTGCTGGGTCTTGGACACTCATGTCCTCTTCCTGCTTTGGTCTGGCTGTCCTGCCTGTTTGTTTGTTCCTCTCTCATCCCTGACTTCTGATAAGGCCTGTCCTACCTTAGCAGTTTAAATTAAATTTGAGGGGCTGAGTAAGCACCAAGACTCAATGGGCCTGTGGGGAAAAAGGGAAAGGTGGGCTGTGCCATATGGGGCTAACCCCTTTTGCTGCTTTTCTGTCCTAGATATTGCTGTGGAGTTGCTGCAGAAAGTGGCTCCCAGCCCTATCCGTAGGCTCCAGAAGAAATATGTGTCTCATGTGTCTCGGTAAGAAGCAAAGCCTGCCCCTTCATGTCCCATGCCAGAACTGGGAGCTCTGGTCTCGCCTGTGACTCTCTGCTGTCCCCTGGGCCAGCACTGGCTTTGTGCTTAGGCCTGATTAGTGTCAAAGAGGAGCTGGTGGCAAGGCCAGCAGGCACAGTGGCTTCCTGATACAGCCAGGCCCTCTTCAGTTTGGTCCTGTTTCTGGGATGCAGGCATGCTCTTATTACTGGGAGCCTGTACTGGCTGGATCTGCAGCTCACTGGGCAGCCAGGTCTGAACCCTGGCTCTGTTCTTAGCAGCCAAGCCCCTGCCAGTGTGCCTGGCTGCAGACAGGGCTGCCCACTTTGGAGCTGGCTGTGCTTGGGAACAGGAGCCAGGGCTTTCTGCTCTCCATCCTGCATCCCCTGCACTTTCTCTTGCTGCAGCTCAGGACAGCTGGTGCAGAGCTGGCAAGGGTGGGATATATCTAGCTGTCTCTTTGCTAAACCTCCCCACTACTTATATGGGAAGGGAACAGCCAGGTTGTGTGGTGGGGACTGATATGTTTGTAGCACGCAAATAACCTTCAGGTTGGCTCTTCCCTTGTCCCACAGGGAAGCTTGCATCTCACCCTGCTCCATGATGCTGGCACTGGTTTACATTGAGAGACTCCGGCACCGGAACCCCGAATACCTCCAGCAGATCTCATCTTCAGACCTCTTCCTGATCTCCATGGTGAGTGGTGTGGGCTGGCGGGAGTCACTGGGTTGGAGGGAGGCCTGGAGGAGTGCAAGGAGGACTGTGATCCTATCCTTTTGTGCTGCTTTTAGATGGTTGCCAGTAAGTACCTGTATGATGAGGGTGAGGAAGAAGAAGTGTTCAATGATGAGTGGGGAGCAGCAGGGAAGGTGGACGTCCAGACCATGAACACACTGGAGATGAACTTCCTGAGCGCCATTGTAAGTGGGGCTATCGCTGTGGCCAACTATTTCACAGAGTGGGGGAAAGGAGGGTGTTAAGGGGAGTCTGGATTTCTGCTTTTCAGCAATGTACTTCCATGAAGGAATGGAGAAGGATATGTCCGGGTGCTGGGTGCTCTGTAGGCACCCTGTCCAGGTGCTGCAGCCCTGACTGTGCTGACCTTTTGCTGCTGTCCCCACAGGACTGGAGTCTCTACACAGACCCTCGGGAACTGTTTGAAGTGCTGAGCTGGCTGGAAGGACGGTAGGTGTGTGGAGTGGGGATGAGCCTTTTATCCACCTTGCAGCCATGGCTCTGCCCCTGCTCAGAGCTAGCCCAGCTGCAGTGAAATAAGAAGTTGGGGTACCTGTGAGCCTTTGCTAGGCCTGCAGCTTCCTTCTGCAGGCCTTGAGCGGGGTCTTCTCCAAGCCTGCTTGGGCTGAAGCTTCTTTGACAGAGAAGGTCCATGCCATATCCACCATTCCCTTTTTTTTTTTACCTGCAGCGTGGCAGAAAAGCAGGGCTTGTGGCGTGGTTGGTTCACATACACGGATCTTTGTGTCCTCATGGAGCAGTCCATGTGGCAGCACGTGCTGGGCCAGTTCTACCAGCAAGTGGTGAAGGTAAGGGCATGGGGTCCATGGATTTAGAGCAGGACCCTTTTTTCCACTGGGAGCAGTAGCTCGGTTTAGTGAAAAGGGAAGCTGTCAGAAGCCAGAAGATGCTGATCTGCTGTGCTGCCTGAGGCAGACTGGGTTAGTCTGTGCCCTGTGCTGGACCACAGCCCCACAAGTCACGGTGCAAGTTTGTGGTGGTGGCTGGGGATTTAAACAGGGACTGTTAGGTTTTAGCTGGGCTATTTTGGTTTGTGGTATTTCGGCCTTGCTTTGAACAAGCTGTGTGCCACCTGCTGCTAGCAGCATGGCTGCCTGCTCCCTGGCATGTGACCCCGGTGCTGGTCGTGCCATTTGCCATTATGGCTGCTGGGTCGACATGTGGCCATGCTGGGGTCACAGCTGGCTGGGGGGAGCTGCTGGGGGGTCTGGGGTCACAGCTGTGCACAAGGAGCGTCAGCCCTGCAGCCCCCCGGCCTGCGCTGTTCCCCGAGGAGGGCAGTTGCCAGCTGGATGCCCAGTCAGCCCCTGACCAGCCCCAGCCTGAGCTGCCCGACGTCTCTCCAGCCAGCAGCACGAGTTGCCTGGGGGAGAATGAGACAACTGAGGAGCCACGTCATGGAGGCATCACGGCGACTGCGCTCTACCTGTGGGGCAGCGTGATGACGGCTCTGTCTTACCCAAAGGCACCTGATCTATCCCAACACAGGAACCCCCCGCAAGGCCCCTTCCGGAGAGTACCCACCGCCTGTGAGAGATCTAACCATACTGCCCCCAGCCACTGGCCAGCCTGGCCCTGTTGGACTCACCGTGCTCCCGGTTCCCCCAGCGCTCCACTGTTACGCTTGCTCAGCTGGTGCGGGCCCCACATGGGATGCAGCCCCCAACCGCAAGGACTGGCTGGACCCCCTGGGGCTGAGGCAGTGGTCCTTGCACACTGCCATGGATCTCAGCAGAATCAAGAGCTTCATTTTTCCTAGCTAGGAGCATGGGGCAGCAGCCCCTTTCCCCTTCCCTCCTAGTGTGGCACAACTCACTTCCTTGCACTTCTGGGACCTCTGATCCCTGGGGCTGTGCGGGGCTGGAGGTCCCTGCTTCACTTCTAAACCAGCATTTGTCCCCCTGACCTGGGTCAGGGGTGTCCTTCACTTTGGGGCTGCTGGGACAGGTTGGGGCAGAGTTGGCTTGCTGTTGGGGTATTGAGGTGGGACCTACTAGCTGGAGGGTAGAAATGGGGTACCCTTGGGCTGGGGTGCTAGGGCAAGGGGGGTGTTGTACCTCCTCCTACAGTGAGTGGGTGGCCCTTGGTGGTGCTGGGCAGAGGTGGTGTGTGGGATGTAGTAGGATGCTGGGGCTGTGTGTGCAGGGTGGAGGGGCTGGGGCAGTGACCCCAGTGGAGGAGTGGGGTGCTCTCAGAGGAGGGGGGGTGCCTGGGCAAGGGGAGAGGAGGTAGGAGAGAGCAAGCAGCCCAAGCTGGCTGGCCATAGCAGCAATTCCCCTTGGGTGCTGCCAGGCCATTTCTCAGGAGGTGTAAGGGTCACACCAAGAGGGGACCCCAATGTGGTTGTGCCCTGCTGGGCTTGGAGGTGGTGAGGTGTGTTTAAGGCTGAGCTTCCTTATCCTGCTTATGTTGGGTGCTTTGAAACTGGGGTGTTCTGTGACCCCACACCAAACCCCAGCTGTCTGTGGCTGTAAGCAAACAGTGCCTGACTGCTCCTCAGAGCGGGGAGAAGGCACCTTGTCTTGCTGACCAGCCCAGCTCATCGTGCCCCTTCTTTTTACTGTGGATTTTACACCTGTTTTTCACTCTTTTGTAGATGCGAATCTCTTCCAATAAAAGTAGTTCTTGCTGTGTACCTGCCTTGTCCTGCTGGGCTGCTCTGTGCTGGCAGCATGGGTACCCCAGGGTGGAGCCCCATCCATGCAGCTGTGCTTGTTCTCTGAGCCAGGGTGCAAGGCAGATCCTAGGGGCAGGCAAGTGAGCCCAGGAGCTGTGAGGCCTGTCCTGCAGGGCTCGTGAGGGACCAGGCTTTCTGGTGACAGGGGATAGGAGAGGCATCGGGTCTGGTGCCTGAGGAAGTCAGGGGCAGCGGGAGAGAGGAGGTTCCCCATCCTTGGGAATGTGGGGAATGTATAGTCTCCACTGCTCTTTGCTCTCCAAAGTCTGACCAGTTAATGAGTGAGCCCGAGCAGCAAGGGATTGGCAGGGTCGCCGTTGTGGTTTCTGGCACAGCTACCTCTGCCCTGTGACAAAAACATGAGCATCCCCTGCCTGTGCTCCCTTGGGAGCCTTCCCAGCCAAGCAGGCAGCTCTTGTCCCTGGCATGTTTGTCCAGGGGCAGGATTCGGTGCCCCCCTCCTAGGAGCATGGGGGGATGTGATAAACCCTATCAGGGACCCTCCTGGGGTGGGCACAATGCCCAGAGAGGGCAATGGCAGGGCCTGGCGGAGGCTGTGCAGATTTTAAGGGGCTCCTTGGGGCCTGAGGGTGAGGAAGGACTGGAGCTGGAGGATGCTGTTGGTGGGGATGCTCCATGCACATGAAGGAAGAGGTGTCTCTGCTGTGGTCCTGCCCAGTGTACCACAAGAGGCAGGGATGGGTCCTGGGCACTTGGCACCATAAGTGTTTGGTGTCCTGGCCATGGGTGGCTGTCACCTGGCTGTTGTGGTGACAACCCAGTGTGGCACTTGCGTTCCTGACTGCAAGGGCAGGTTACTCACCAACTCGAGTTAATGGCTAACCCTGGGGCAGCTCCTGCAGAAGGTGGAAGTTCAGCTATGCAAGGGCTGCAAGGAGCCCTTGGGAGGGGGGTGGGTGGGTGTAGGAGCCTGCCCACCCCCTCTGCACCACAAACTGGGAGCGGTGTGTGGAGGCAGCAGCATGAATGGGGGCCACCACGGAACGCCTGGTGCCGGAAGCCCTGTGCTCGCATCCTGTTCCCTGCAGAAGATGCGCTCCTGGGTGCTGAGCTGTTGCTTAGCCCTTCAAGTAAGGGGGGGAAGGGCTGGGATCCTCTCAGGTGGCAGGGGCCGCATCCTGCCAGGCAAAGGGTGCGTGGGACTCTGGCCAGGGTATGCTGGCAGGGGAGTGGGCGGTGGTGGGTGCTGCCTGGGGGTGTCAGTGAGCATGCATCTATTCAGGGGGGCTGGGCACAAGGGGCTGCAGCTCTGGGTGCCGTAGGGAGTCACAACCACCCACTTTCTTCCCTCCACAGCACCTGGCCGTGCAGGCCTCCTTGCTCTGCATCTTCCACCTCCTCCTGTTGCCTACCCTGCCCGAGGAGCCACCCCATGCCCAGGCCACCAGCGAGCTGCTGGCACGCAGCCTCTTTGCCTGCGGCATCTCCACCGAACCACCCACTCTCTTCCCTGCACAGCACCTGGCCGTGCAGGCCTCCTTGCTCTGCATCTTCCACACCTCCTCCTTGCCTACCCTGCCCGAGGAGCCACCCCATGCCCAGGCCACCAGCGAGCTGCTGGCACGCAGCCTCTTTGCCTGCGGCATCTCCACGGTGCTGCAGACCACCCTGGGGAGCCGGTGAGCAAGGCGGATGAAGGGGATGCAGCGGTCACCAGGAGGAGGGTGATGCTGTAGCCTGCCATGTCTCTACCCCTTCCTAGGCTGTGGGAAGACAGGCTTTGCTGGAGGCTGGAAGGGGCATGAGGACAACCCCTTGCCCTGCATCTCTGCATGGCTGTCCCCTCCCTGCCATCACTGCATCCTCCTTTCTCCTGCGTCCCTCTAGCAAAACTGCTGTGCTTTGCCTCTAGCTCCTCGCTGCCTTGCTCCGGCACCATACGCAGCCCCTCCAGACCATCCGGTGCCTGCACTGCCCGTGCCCCATGCAGGGGCTGGGGGTGTGCTTTGGCAAAGCCCCTGGCCTCTGCACACATCCTATGTGCTGTCACTTGGTGTGTGCCAGGGCCCATTTGGGATGTGGGGTGACCTCCTGCCACTTTGGGGTTCTCTTCCACTTTGCAGCCCTTGCTCTTCTGGCAGCCAGGGCTTTGGAAGCAGCCCTGTCCCCTCTTTCCTTCCTAATGTGCCCTTGCTGTCCCCTTCCCCAGGCTGCCGCTAGTTCAAATCCCATCCTTTGAGTACCTGATCCCTGCCATGGTGCTGAGCTCCCACCTCTCCCTCGGTGCCAGCACAAGCAAGAACGGTGAGCACAGCCCTGGAGTCTGCATCCCATGGGGCGTGGGCCATGCTGGCGCCGGGGGAACGGCAGTGATGAGGTGCCTGGCACATGGGGTAGGGATGAGGGGTAGCAAGGGGTCCTGCCTGCTGGCCCCTCTGGTGATGGTGCACAGCACCCTACTCGCCCCTGTGCGCATCCACAATGCGTCTGGCTGCTTCCCCAGGGTCACAGCTTATAGGGTTGGGGATGTTGGCACACTGGCCCTTCTCCAGCCAGCAGTGTCTGCGCTGCGTACTCTTGGACCCAGCTCCAGGAACACAGCATACACAGGAATCACGTCCTTCCGAAATTCCCTTCCAGGCACGGTCGTGGCCAGCGCATGCCCTGCACCTCACTGTGCCATCACAGGGAGCCAGGCTGCCTCGCTGCGAGAGGTGGGTGCTCCTGCACTGGGCTGGGTGTCCCATCCTCCTGCTCCACCAGCACCCCACTTGTCACCTGCATCCCTGCTCCCCCAGTCCCTTTTCCAGCCCTCCTGGGGACTGCCATGAATAAGGGGGGACACAAGGGGTTGTGCAAAGGCAGGGGAGGTCATGGTGCTCATGGGTGCATACCTTCTCTTAGGCTTGGAGTGAGCGGAGCACGGTTGGAGCATGGGGTTTGGGTGATGCTACTGGGGAGCTGGAAGTGTGGCCAAGGGAGGGTGTCGGGCTGTTCTCCATGTATCCTGCCCCATGGGTCCCATCCTTTCCTCTCACAGGTCTCTGGAGCTGTGCTGGTCTCTGGGCTGGTTCAGCTGCTGCTGGGAGTGTCTGGCATGTGCGGGTGGGCAGCCCGGCACTGCGGGCCCATGGTCCTGGCCCCCAGCCTCTCCATCATCGGGCTCTCTGCATACAAGGAGGCCGCTTTGTTCTGTTCCACTAACTGGGGGGTAGCACTGCTGTACGTGAGCCTGGGGGCCACACCAGTGTGCGGTCCCCGGGGCTTCCCTTCACCATGGGGACAGGAATGGGGCATCCCCACGGTGCATGGCATGCATTTGGGGCCCCATCGCCGTGATGCTGCGTGGTGATCTGTGCTCCCTCTTGTAGGCTCATGCTCCTCACTGTCACCTTCTCCCAGCACCTGGGATCCTGCCGCCTGCCCTTGTGTGCCTGGCCCCAGGCCCAGGGGGGCTTCACGGAGCCATCAGTCCCCACCCTGCGCACGTTCTCGGTACTGTGGCTTGTCTGCCCCTGCCCTCTCCGCTGCACCCAGGCTTCTCTCCAAGCCTGACACTTTGGTGGGGGGGTTTGGTGGGATCCAGTGGCCAGAGAGCTGGGTGCTGGGAGCAGAGGCATGGTAAAGTCCTGCTGCAGGTCCTGGGGAGTGGATGCTGCTGGGGGAGTGCAGGGGACCTGTGCTCAAGGGTATTGGAGCAGCAGAGCCTAGGATGCTCCCTGCAGGGGTAAGGGGAGATGTGGCATGGCTCCTTGGGAGAGGTGGCAGGACAAGGGGCTGTTGTTTGGGGCACCGCAAGCAGGGTGCTGGCCAGGGGAGGAGAATTCCCTGCTGAGGTTCCCCTTGCTGCCTTGCAGGTACTGCTCCCATTTGCTGGTGTCTGCGTTGTTTGTGCCATCCTCAGCCATCTCCACATCCCCTGGGAATCGCTGGACCTGGCCATGGCACAGCTGTCCTGGGCCAACAGCACCTTCCATGCCCCTTGGCTCCGCATCCCCTACGCAGGTGGGGGGTGGCAGGGCTGGGTGCAGCCATCCGCCCTCAGCAAGGGCCCCCATCACCTGTCCCCTCTCCCTCTGCTGCAGGCGAGTGGGGGTGGCCGCTGCTCACCCCCCAGGCACTGGCAGCGGGCATCGCCATGGCCATCGGTTGCAGCATGAACTCAGTGGGCTGCTACGTGCTGTGTGGGAGGCTGCTACGAGCCCCCCGGCTGCCCCCCCATGCCTGCAACCGGGGGCTCTGCGTGGAAGGGCTGGGCAGTCTCCTAGCAGGGCTGCTGGGTGCCCCGGGGGGCACGGCTGCCAGCATCGCCAACACCTGCGCCACCGGCCTCACGCAGGTATGCCCAGGGTGGGGAGAGGAAGGTCGGCAAGGGATGGGGAGGGGAGGGAGAAGCAATGGAGCAGTAGGTGTGGGGCACCCATGGCACATGGGCTGTCGCTGAGCCAGTGCCAGGGGTGAAAAAGGCAGGTCTGTATGGCAGGATGGGGGTACACAGTGGGGGGGTAATGCTCCTCATCCTCACTTTTCCCGTCTTCCTTTGTGCCAGGCTGATTCTCGCCCCTCGGTGCAAGTAAGTGCCCTGGCATGCGTGGTGCTGGGCATGTCCCCAAGGCTGGCAGGGCTCCTCACCCGCATCCCACTGGCAGTTCACGGTGGGTACCCTGCCCTTCCCCTGCGCTGCGGTGCTCACAGCCTGCCTGGCACTGCCTGATTCCCACCCCTTTGCAGGGGGGGTGCTCTGCGTCACCTACGCCGTGGCTGTGGGCACAGGGATCTCCTACTTCCAGTACACAGACATCGACTCGGGGAGGAACATCTTCATCGTTGGCTTTGCCATGTTCATGGCGCTGCTGGTGCCACGGTGGCTCAGCGCTGCTCCAGCTCACCTGGCCACAGGTAGTGGGGTTTTTCCCTGGGTGAGGCAAGGCCTCGGGCACCATGGCATGGTGACCCCACGTCTCCGATGTCCTGGGAGTCTGGGGCAGCTCACAGCAACAGGCAGCTCCCTCTCCAATCCATGGATCTGCTGCAGCAGCTCCTGCCCCTTCCCTGCTGCTGGGTTGGTATCCCCCAGGTGATTCTGGTGCTGTGCCTGCAGGCTGGGTGCCCCTGGACCTCCTCTTCCTCTCCCTGCTCATGGTGCCTGTCTTCTTAACTGGCTTCTTGTCATTTTTCCTGGAGAACACAGTCTCAGGTGAGGGGATGTCTGCATGAGCCCCTGCTCTGAGGGCAGGATCTGGCCATGGGACCGTCCCTGAACCACCGGCTCTGTCTCCAGGCAGCCCTCCTGGGGGTGCTGGGGCTGGTGGAGGATGGAGGAAGGGGCTCCCATCTCACTGCCCATCACCCTGGTTGCAGGAACGCTGGAGGAGCGAGGGCTGCTCTCTGACCTGGCGTCGCAGAAAGCCGGGGCAGGCAATCGCCACCCCCATGGAGAGAGGGGCAAAGCCAGCCAGGCATATGGGCTCCCTGCTGGGCTGAGGAGGCTGCTGCCATCCTCCTGCAAAGCCTTCCCCTGCTGCTTCCTCTGCCCAGGGAGTGAGGAAGAGGAGGAGGAGGAGGAGGAAGAGGAGGAGGGCAGCCATGCCCATGAGGAGGGGACTGCTGCACCAGGGGAAGGGACGCACCTACTCCCCAAACCCGTCTCGGGGGACCTGCAGCCAGCCAGGAGGCTGAGCGAGATGGAGATGCCCGCATGGCACACAGTGGCCTGACCCTGCGGCACAGGGATACCTCATGGGGGACTGGGGCAGGGCCCCCAAGGCAGCTTGCAGGCCACTTTGGTCCTCGTTTCTGAAGCCCACATGGACTGAAAGGACCTGCGCTCCACACTCCCCAGTATGAACCTCATTTCCCTGCTTGGGAGTGAGCTATAAAAACCTTCAACCACCTTTGCCCTTTCCAGGGGTTTTCTTTCCAGCCAGGATTTTCCTGGGACATGCCAGCCTACCCTCCCCTGGTGCCACTGCAGCTGGGGATGTGGGTGCCCCTAAAGCCCATAATCACCCCGGGAAGGGCTCGGTGCTTTGTCCAGCCCCAAAGGGCTGTGGCCTGGGCTCTACTCACCCTCTGGCACCATGCTCGGCAAGGGCTGGCTCTCTCCCTCCTCACTGCTGTGTTCTAGCGGTGCCCATGGCACCAGCTGTATACTAATGCCCTGGCCCTGCCACACCAGGATGCCCCAGGCTGGGGGCACAGCTCAGCTCAGTTCCATAAAATAGTGAAACCCCTTTATACCTGCATGGGGTTGGTCCCAGGAGCACTCACCACTTAAACCCCAGGTATTGTTCTTGCTGCTAAACCAGCCCGCAGCGGTTCTCTGGGGAAGAAAACATTGCCTTTGACCCCTGTGGTTGAGCTCAGTGCCTGGTTACGCCAACTGCAGCAGAGTCTGTACCAGCTCTGCTCCCTGCTCCCGCATTTACAGCAGATCAGAGTCCACGGGCAGGGCCCTGTGCTCCCAGTGCTGCTTCCACCAGTCTCAACTGGCCTGTGAAAGCCCAGCCCTGGGCTAGGAAAGGCTGGGGCTTTGCAGCCCTTGGGTGATGCAAGCTGGCCCTGTGTGCAAGCTTGAAGGAAGGACAGACTTGAGCTGGGAGGACGATGGAGCCAGTCCATGGGAGTGACGTGCTTGGGCTAGACCACAGCTCCAGGTTATGGCTGCCCCCTCCAACCGGTCCTGGGGAGATGCCTGACGCCCAGGAACACCCAAAGGTGGCTGCAGGGTGGGAGGGATGTGGTGCTACTGTGCCTGCAGGTCCCCAAGGGTGAGCCCCCTTTCCCCAGCTGCCTTTGATCCCCACAGCTGGGCCTTGTGCACCCAGTGGGCACAGGGCACAATGCACAGCCCGGCCTCACCCAGCCAGCACCCTGCCCAGCACCCCACCTGGGCCCTGCACCCCAACCTGGCCGTGCACTCCAGCTGTGCCCAAAGCCCAACTGGGTCTTGCACCCCAAACACTCCTGCGCCCTAACCTGGCCATGCAACCCAATCTCTCCTGCACCCCAAAGCCCCTGCCTGCTCCCACCTCCCCTGCCATTCCCTTGGAATGCAAACCCTCTAGGATGAC